CTTTCAACATTGAGATAGTTTATTGTGCCAGCCTGGCCAATAAACACAAGTGGGATTAACTAAAGGGCAGAGAGATAAATGGCTTGGTGAGTCTTACCTTTCTTGTCATTCTTTCTTTGATCATCGGACCAGTGTGCGGCTGCCTTGCTTGTTCTATGCCTCAATTTAAAGGCTATACTACCTGTGGGACGCCTAGCCTGTGGACTGTGTTGCTGTAAGTTGAGGTCCCTTTAAGACATCTCTGGAGCTGGGGACTGCTGGTTGGTGACCTGGCTAACAGTTGGTGACCTGCCTTGTGATTGGTTGCTGTGCTGAGATAGCCTAGCTCTCTCTATAAATAGAGGAAGATCTGGCAGCAGACTAGACCTGAAGGACTGCTAGTCTCACACAACTCTCTCTCACGGGAGTGAGTTGCACTGAGCCATTTGTAGTGCTTTATAATTTAACCATTCATTCCTTGTAATATATATATATATATATATATATATAATACAATATATATATGATTTAACAGTTCATTTCTTGTTATATATCTAATTATCTTTATAAATAAATATATTAAACTATCAGCAATTTGGTTTTATCTCTCTAGAGAACCCTGTCTAAAACAAACATATACCCTATTTCCCCGAAAATAGGACTTACTTACAGTTTTGCCTCTCACTGAAATATAAGGCATATTCCCAAAAATAAGGCCCCCCTGAAGTTACCGTAACTCTGGACTCTGGACTGTAGCGGCTGGCGCAGCTCACTGTTGGCCGCAGTGCAGCCAGAGCAGACAGGAAGTACGAGGTCTCGTTTAATAAAACAATAAACAATAAATATTCTTGTTCATGGAACATATTCCATATTCTTCTTCATGGAAAAATAAGACATCCCCTAAAATAAGACCTAGTGCATTTTTGGTAGCAAAAATTAATGTAAGACACTGTCTTATTTTCAGGGAAACAGGGTACTTCCTTAGCTCAAGCCCTATATATCTCCCACCACCTCTCCGACAAGCTGCGATTTCCCTGACCTAACTCGTTGGGTCTCAGAACCACCCAGGAGCTCAAGATGATCCCGTTGCTTTCTCTGCTCTCCCTTCCCTCCCCAGAGCGCTTTCCCTGCCCTAATACAGCCGTTCTTAGCCTCACATTCTTTGTCTCAATCCTATCTCTGTTCAGTGTCTCAGTGTTGACGTCTCATCATGATGTCCGAAACCCGGGAGGAGTAAGAGGTGTTTTGACGCACCCCCACCCTCCCTTGGGTGAGCGCAGCGCCCTTCTTCTGACAGTACCTGACTAAATTTTGTTTCTGCTGTTTCAGCCACTGCCCCTTGCTGCTTGGTTCTTTAGGGGCTTTGTTCATTCATTTCATTTCTGAACCGTGGGCCCACGGCAGAGCCACATCTAAAGGACAGCACTTGGGGACACCTGATTCTCTCTGCTCCTTTTCTGGGGGAGCTGGGAAACCTTCCCCTTCCCCCATTCCAGAGGCCCAGTTGGATACTCGGGACACTAATGGTCTAGCTCCATCTCCTCCAAGAACCCTGCAGCATGGGAAACAAAAATTCCAAGTCGGACTCCTCCACACTTGTTGGTTGCCTCCTGGCTAATCTCTCAACTCTTGGCTTAGAGCCACATCTCCCCCAAATGCCTTGTTTTTTACTGCAATTCGGTTTGGACCCAATATAAACTAGATAATGGTCTCAATGGCCAGAAGGCGGTACTTTTGATTTCAACATTTTGACGGAACTTAGTAACCTTTGCCAGCGAACTGGCAAATGGCCTGAGGTCCCCTTTGTCCAAGCTTCCTTCCTTCTATGCTCCCATCCCTCTCTCTGTCAGCCCGCTCAAGTTCTTTTAGCCCAATACTCTCCTAACCAGAAACACTGGCCAGCTCAAACAGACCCACTGCTCCCCAATCAGGTTTCCGACAGTACTCCCCCACTCATCTTTCTCCGAACCCTCTGACTCTTTGTCTGCGCCCCCAGTAAGGCCTCCTCCATATTCTGGGTGCCGTTCACCATCACCTCCCTCCACTACTCCCTCAGCTCCCAACCACCCCTCTGCCATTCCCCACAGCCTTTTGTCTCTGTGTTTGCTTTCTGTGATTCCTGCCACTAACACGACTCCTGGCACTGGGCCTGGCAGTCACTGCACCCTCTGGACTAGAGCACAAAGAGTGTGTCTGAGCTTTTTCTACCTGTTTGTGTTTGTGCTGGCAGTTCTGCAGCACCTGCTCTCAGACCTTATCTAAAATCTGCTCCCTCCTGAGCAAAGACCTCAGACCTTCATTTAGCAGGCCACAAAACCAGCCCCCACTCCGCCCCCCCCTCCCCCAGCTTCCTGCTGTCACTGACCCAAGGTCCCTGTCTGTTGGTTAAAGCCGCAGGCCTGCGCCAGGGAACCTTCCTGTTCCGGGGAGTCCAGAGCTCTCCCACTGGGACCCCAGCTCTGACCGGGACGCCTCTCAGGGTTACCAGGCCACCTCCTGACTGACGGGTGCGGACAGGGACCAGGAGACGTCCTTCTCCTTTGCCTATACCCACTGCAGTTTAGGACACCAATGAAAGCTCACTCTCTAAGCCTCCTAGGGACAGTCCCTTGGAATGCCTCCTGAACTGTGCCTGGCTCTGGACATTCGCCCTAAGCATCCAGTCCTTTTCTGTAACCAAGTGTGGCCACAATCCCAATTGGACAATGAGTCGTGCTGGCCAGGACTTTCGATTCCGGCATTCTCTGCGACTTCAACAATTTTTGTCGCCAGACTGTACATTCAGGCTTTACTTTTCCTCCACTCCTGTACTTCCTTATGTGTCACCTGTCACCCAGCCCAGGTCTCACTTGCGCAATCACCCTTGGCTGCTCCTGCTAACCTCTGGTTATCTTCCACCGCCGTTCAACCCGATCTCACCCCTTCTGACTCCCTGAAAGCATTGTCCTTACCACCTACCCGTCCTCCACCCTACTCCCTGCCATCCCCTTTGGGCCGGAACCTACTCAGGCTCCTCCTCAATCTTCCCCTCCTCCTCAACCTCAGCCCCCTCAGCCTCAGCCTCCTCTACCTTCCCCTGTTGCTTCTCACTATAGGTCACATCACGTTTGTCCCCTCAGTGAGGTGGCTGGAGGTGAGGACCCCATCAGGGTCCATGCACCATTTTCCCTCACAGATCTCTCCCAGATAAAAAAGTGCTTGGGAACATTTTCTAACAACCCCACTATATACATTAAGGAGTTCCCATATCTCATCCAGGCTTATGGCTTAACCTGGCCTAATCTTTATATAGTCCTCACTTCCACCCTCATGCCCAATGAGCGAAAGCAGATTTTACAGCCACTCAGCAACATGCAGATTAGATCCATCTCACAGACGCCACCATGCCCATGGGTCCTCAGGCAGTTCCTAGGGAAGAGCCAGATTGGACCTATCAAACAGATACCCAAGCTGGATGTCAAGGTGGGACCTGCTGAGACCACATGACATAGTACTTGCTGGCTGGCTTACAAACCGTTTCTCACAAAGCAGTAAACTTTGACAAGCTGCAGGAAATTACCCAGCAAGCGAGTGAGAACCCGGCAGCTTTCCTCATTTGCCTAACTGAAGCCTTAACTCAGTATAGCAGGCTAGACTCTACCTCTCCAACAGGGACTAATGTGCTACTCACTCATTTTAGAACGCAGTCAGCCACCAATATTAAAAAGAAACTTTAAAAATCCGGGGATGGCCCTCAGACCCCCATCCGTGACCTGGTAAGCATGGCATTTAAAGTTTTTAACACCCAAGAGGAACAGGCTGAGGCAGCTTATGAATCCCGAGCCCACCAAGGGGCAAACTGGCAAGCCCAAGTCTTGATTGCTGCCCTGAGGTTGGCTCGAGGAGGGGTCAGAAGACTTCAGGAAACAGCAACTTCAACAGTAACTCTAACTGCCTGCCACTGGGACCCTGCTTTACATGAGGCCAGAAGGGCACTGGGTTAAGCATTGCCCACATTCCCGGCTACCCACTAAGCCTTGCTAACAGTCTGCTAACAGAATACACAAGTTATTATAAAAGCCAAACCAAGTCATCACCACAGGTAGTCTGTTCCTTCACAGATCAGGATGAAAATAGCTTTTCTCTACATAAAGTTTGCAGACATAATATAACTGTTAATACACCAGCTCATTCTTACACTCCAACATTCAATACAACAACAACTCGTTCTCATGCTCACCTTCTCACACTCCTATATTCACTATTCATACAACATTCATTTACATTCCGTGCATATGCCTGCACACACTCACACGCCCATGTGCTCACTCGCACTGATGGGTACAAACTCGCTCACTTATGTTCATGTGTCCACATGCCCACGTCTGCACACTCACCCATTAGGGCACAGTATGCTCCAAACACAGGACTTTGTCAATCAACTCCAGCTGGTCATAAACTCCACCTCAAAGTCTATCACCTCCTTGCAGCAACAACTTACATCCCTGGCACAGGTAACCCTTCAAACCCGTTGTGTATTAAATCTGTGAAGAGCTGACAAAAGTGTGCATACACTATATCAATAAGTCAAAAGTAGTTAAATTAAATGCTAAAGTGCTCCACAACATGGCCAAGGAAATCAGAAAACGTCAGCGCGGCACCACCAGCCCTTCCTTGTGGTTTCAAAGTCTGTCATGACCTGGATCATGCCCCTCGTAGGACCTCTGATAATAATCTGTCTACTGTTACTTCTGGCTCTGTGTGTGTTTAAATTTTTGCAGGAATGAATGAAAGATATCTCCATTCCAACCTGATCTTCAATCAGCTTCTTCTCCACTGTTACAGTCTGCTACCAACCGGCCTGGGCTCTGAACCTTCCAACTCTTAATCCCCCCTTCTTTGCCCTATCTCAGCAAGAAGTAGTTAAGACAGAACACATTGCCCCATTACCACTATTAAGAAGTTTGGGATCCCTTCCTTTCTCCCGGTCCATCTTGGCGGCTGCTCTTGGTTGGGGGCCGTTCCGCACGTAAGACAGGAAGATGGTGGCCGCACAGAAGATGAAAAAGTCACTGGAGTCCATCAACTGGAGGCTCCAGCTCATTATGAAAAGCGGGAAATACGCGCTGGGCTACAAGCAGACGCTGAAGATGATCAGGCAAGGCAAAGCGAAACTGGTCATCCTGGCCAACAACTGCCCAGCCTTGAGGAAATCAGAAATCAAGTACTATGCCATGTTGGCCAAAACTGGTGTCCATCACTACAGCGGCCACAATATCGAGTTGGGCACAGCATGCAGCAAGGACTACAGGGTGTGTACACTGGCCATCACCAATCCCGGTGATTCTGATATTATTAGAAGCAGGCCAGAACAGACTGGTGAAAAATAAATCCTGCAATATTTTTCTTTAATAAAACTGGCCAGAGCTTGTTAAAAAAAAAAGAAGAAGAAGTTTGGGCCGGGTCTGGACCGGGCAGCCTCCACCTCCCCTCCGGCTCCTCAGGAAGATGAAACCTCAAAGCCCACATTCCCAGCCTCTCAGGAGGATGGATGACCTATTGAACTATGCAACTCCTGCCTCAACACCCCAAAGAGCTTATCTCTCCCGGCCAGGTTTATGTAGCCCCTTCCCCAGCACCCCAGGAAGCAATTTATCTTCCCAGGCTGGTTAGTCGAGCCCCTTTCCCAGCACTCCAGAGAGCAGGTTTGCAAACAACAAGATGACTTCCCACAGGTCGCATCCTGACTCAAGGCCCTGCAGCTACAAGCAATAAAAAAATCTCCCTTCCTTCTGTCAACATATACTTCCTTAGCTTCAGCCTTATATATTCCCACCGCCTCACCGACAAGCTGTGATTTCCCTGACCTAACTTGTTGGGTCTCAGAACCACCCAGGAGCTCACGATGCTCCTGTCCCTCTCTGCTCTCCCTTCCCTCCCGGGAGCTCCTTCCCAACACTAATAAAGCCACTCTGAACCTCATGTTCTTTGTCTCATTCCTATCTCTGTTCAGTGTCTCAGTGTTGACCTCTCAGTTTTAATTTGCATTTCTCTTATGGCTAATGATTAGGAACATTTTCTCATATGTTCATTGGCCATTCGGATTTCTGCCCTTGTGAAACTGTTAGATCTCTCTGGAGCTAGATTTATACCTCCGTCCTTGGCCCCGTGCGAGAAAGAATTCACGCCGAAGCCTGGCTCGTGATCGAAGTGAGTTTTATGAAAGTTAGAAGAAGTTTCAGGTTTACACGGCACCCAAGGAGCTCCTCCCGGACATGCGCCCTAGCTGGAAGCGGCTCTGCGTCCCGAAAAGCGTGCCAAAGCTCTCTGCGCCTGAGTTCTCTCTCCTCCGTTCTAAGTTCTCCTCCCGTCTCGGTTCTTGTCCTCCTTCTAAGATCCCCTCTCCTCTGGGCTTCTGCCTTTTCAAGGATTCCATAGGGAGGCGTGGTGGAAGACCCCTGGTCGACCCCATTGGCTGAATTGAATTTACCTGGCTAGGTGATCCAATTCAAGTTCACGCCCACCCCTGCCTACCGGCGGGAACCCTGAACATGTGTGCGCACTCCTTTGTTCCCCTAGCTTGACCCTCTGGGCACGGGTTAATGGACATCCCCCAGTCCTATGCTGGCCTACCTAACAAAACTTCTGCTCAAGTCCTTTGCCAGCTCCTCAGAAGGCAATCAGGTTTTTTTTGGAAGCTAGAAGAGTCTTATAGATATTAGTAAGAAGGTCTTTGTCTGATGTGTCATTGCTGAAGATGTTTTCCCAGTCTGTGAGCTCTCTTAATGAATTCTTTCGATGTTTTATCTTCAGCATATCCCACCTGTCAATTTGTGATTCATCTGGATTTGTGTCCTTCCTTATTTCTGATATCCTATGTATTCCCTGTGCCGAAGTTCCAAGTCAGCTCCAACCCATAGTGACCCTATGAGCAACAAAATGAAACACTGCACAGTACTGTGCCATCCTCACAATTGTTCCTATACCTGAGACCATTTATGCAGCTGTGTACTTTCTTCTCCAGCACCACAATTCAAAGGCATCTATTCTGTGATCTTCTTTATTCAATGTCCATCTTTCACATGCATGTTATGCAATGGAGAATACCATGGCTGTGCCAGCCACACTTACTCTTCAAAGTAACAAACATCTTTGCTCTTCAATACTCTAAAGAGGTCTTGTGCAGCAGACTTACCTAATGCAATGTGCTTTTTAATCTCTTGACTGCTACTTAAATAAGCATTGATGGTGGATCCAAGTATGACAAAATCCTTGACAACTTCAACCTTTTCACCATTTATCATGATGTTACCTACTGGTCCATTGTGAGGACTTGGGTCTTCCTTACTTTGGGTCTTAATCCATACTGAAGGCTACAGTCCTTGATCTTCATTTGCAAGTGTTTGAAGTCCTTCTCACTTTTAGCAAGCTAGGTTGTGTCATTTGCATTTATGGTGTCCCTCTGGCCAGCTTTCAGATTGAAGGGGTCATTAACTTTATCTTCTGGACATATTGATTCTTCAGAGGTCAGAGAGTCTGCAGGTAGTGTTAGGTAGCCGGATAGGAGATTGTTCCTCTCCATGCCCAGGGCCCCCCTATAGGAAGTTGGAAGCTGATAAAGGCTAGAGAGCATGCACACATTCAGGCCTTTGACACAGGAAGCCAGTACACTTGGGAGGACCCCAGTCTAGGCCAGGTGAGCTTAATTCAGCCAATGGGGTTACCAGTTCTATGGACCAGTTCAGGACCCCAGAGAAGGGCCCTGAGACAGCCAGAATCCGAAGACTACCTCCCTCCTTTCCAGCCGCTCCTTGGCCATGCTGTGGTTTCTCTGGCCCCAGGTTTCCATGTGTGAGTGTGAAGTGCCCTGAGGGTGCCTGTGTAAAACCTGAAACTTCTTCTATCCTTTATAAAACTCACTTGGATCACACACCAGGCTTCAGCTGAATTCTTTCTCTTGCGAGGTCAAGGACCAAGGCATTTCTCACCGGAGAAACCCAGCAGTAGCCCTTAGTCCACTTTCATTATTACCTGGTCTTTCAATTCTCTAACAAGCAAGCCGACCCAAGGATGATGTCCTTCAAGTCATTGACCCTTGTTCAAGTTTTTGCATATTCCTCAGAGTGGGGGGATGCCTTGAGTCACACCACTGCTCACCATTTTACTAAGGAATATTATATTTATACTTTATTTCACCCAACTCCTATTTCTGCCTTCTTTTCCAACTCAGTTTATTCCCGGTTCCCCTTCCTGCTTTCTTTTTTTTACTTAAAAAAATCATTTTATTGGGAGTCTCTTTTTTTACTTTTGAGGAGAGGGAATTTCACCAAACCCTTTAAAAATATTTTCTGAAGGTTGAAAGACTAGAAGTGGGCCTTTAGGTTTCTTTCCCTTCAACAGTTTGCAGAATCACAGGAGCGTTCAATCCCTGGAGGCAGTGATCCAGAACAAAGTGCTCAGCTTTTTTGTGAGTGAGATAATGCATTGGGTGGCATTAAGTAGCTTTCACAAATTGTTGCACTCTTTTAGGGTTACCCTTCTGTGGGATACAGAAAGGTTTTCCCCAGGTTTTTTTCCCCCAAATATATATGCCAAACCTAGGACACTGCTTGCTAGTTCATGGTGGATGGTCAGCGGCTTTGAAGTGATCTCCCTGAGGTCACCAGCCATCTAGGGCAATCAGACCTGATTGTCTGTCCCACCTTAAGTGGGGCTTACTCCTGATGATAAGGAGAGTGGATTGTTTTCCTGAAGGAGAGCTCAAAGACCAGGTCAAGCCAACTCAAGATGGATCAGAGTTAGGCTGCCATCTTGAATCTAGGATCTGTCCATCTTGTCACATGTGTACCCCTAGCTCATCCTCTTCCTGTCGTGTGTATGCCTATTGGACAGTCCCTTCCTGCTATGTATGTGGTTACCTGTCATCAGGGGGGCTTGCATGCCCTCTAAGTGTATATAAGCCTCGGTTAGAAATATATTCTCTCTCTGTGTGGACCTGTTCATGAGATCATGGCCATCCTGTAAATGAGCATGCTATTATAAAATGTGTCTGACGCCTTTATTTTACTCTCTTTCCTATCTTCTATGACTTCACTATGATTTTTAAAAAATCATTTTATTGGGGGCTCATGCAATTCTTATCACAATCCATCCATCCATCCATTATGTCAAGCACATTTGTACATTTGTTGCCATCATTATTCTCAAAACATTTGCTTTCTACTTGAGGCCTTGATATCAGTTCCTCATTTTCCCCCTCCCTCCCCACTCCCCTATCCCTCATGAATCCTTGATAATTTATAAATTATTATTATTTCTAATATCTTACACGGTCCTACGTCTCACTTCACCCACTTTTCTGTTGTCCATCTCCCAGGGAGAAGGTTATATGTAGATCATTGTAATTGGTTTCCCATTTCTACCCTACCTTCCCTCCACCCTCCAGTTATCACCACTCTCACCACTGGTCCTGAAGGGATCATTTGTCCTGGATTCCCTGTGTTTCCAGTTTCTATCTGTAAAATGTACATCCTCTGGTCTAGCCAGATTTGTAAAGTAGAATTGTGTGTTAATCCGGGTAATTTAGAGAAACAAATCCACAGAAACTCATGTATAAGAGAGAGTCTTACATAAATGTTAAGTGCACATCAAGAAAACATCCCAACCCAGTGCTGCCCAAGCCCACAAATCCAACATTAACCCATTAACCCATATGTCCAACACCAAGCCACAAAGTCCTCCTCCATCTCACAAAACAGATGCAATGATGCCGACTGCAGGAGGAAAGCCGAGTCAGTGAATGTGCAAATATCTCAGTGCTGGCAGGGGTCTCCACACGGGTGCTCCAGCTCCCAGGGCTGCTTCAGGGTAAGTCCATGTGGCTTCTTCTCAGGAATGTCTTGCAGTAAGTGGACCTTGCCAGCTAAAGCAGGGAACTGGCTAAGGAAGCTGAACCCTGGTCCGACCATCACAAAGCAAGAGACCCGAGAACTCAAAAGAAAAGCCTGACTGAGCCATTTATCCCTCGGCCCTTCAATTAACCCCACATGTGTTTATCAGTCAGGTTGGCACAATAAACAAACTACCTCAATCCACCCCTTGCCAACCTGGCACCTGTACATGATTCTTTAGCTTCATGATTGACATTAAGTAACACCTACACCTTAATCCTATAATCCTGTGAATATCTTCCCCCACCTATGAAAGTTTGTAAGCCAACCACTTCATGCCTTTATCCCCCCAATTTTGAGTATCCAATTTGTATACTGCCAACTTACATCAACCCAGTTCTCTGAGAAGACAATCATATTTTTTTAAATGAAGAGTCTTCATTCCAGTTGGAACCTTGTGAAGTCCGCATCCATAAAGTCAGCAACAATATGCACCAGTT